AGAACAAAGGTTAGTATTTGACAATGTTTTCAAAAAAATCGAAGATGGCGAAGGTGGTTTGTTATTTTTGGATGCTCCCGGAGGCACGGGAAAAACCTTTCTTTTAAACTTGCTTTTAGCGCAAATCCGAAAAGATAAAGGAATTGCTGTAGCAGTTGCCTCTTCCGGAATAGCCGCCACTCTGCTCAATGGTGGTCGAACGGCACATTCGGTGCTTAAACTGCCATTAAACTTAGCCCATGAAGAAATGCCAGTCTGTAATATAAGTAAAAACAGCGAGCGTGGACGTATGTTGCAGCAATGTAAATTATTAGTTTGGGATGAGTGTACTATGTCCCATAAAAGAGCAATTGAAGCTCTAGATCGGACTTTGAAAGACATCAAGAGTAATCCAAATATCATGGGGGGGATGGTGGTACTTTTAGCGGGCGATTTTAGACAGACTTTGCCGGTTATCACTAAAGGCACCCCTGCAGATGAAATAAATGCGTGTTTAAAAGCGTCAACGTTATGGGTGCACGTAAAAACGTTTAGTCTGTCTACAAATATGAGAGTGCAACTACACAATGATGTACAATCTGGACATTATGCTGCTGCTCTTCTTAAAATTGGAGAAGATCGTATGGCAAAGGATGGTAATGGCATGATTACATTGGATCGTGAATTCTGCAATGTTGTGCATAATCCAGATGATCTAAATAACTTCGTCTATAGCGAACTGCTAACTAATATGAGGAATAGAGACTGGTTATGTGAAAGAGCAATTTTAGCGCCGACGAATGAAATGGTGGGACAGATAAACGAGCAAATTATGTCACGCGTGGAAGGTGATATTGTTGAGTTTCTCTCTGTAGACACTGTAATGGATACTGAACAAGTAACATCATACCCTGTAGAATTTCTTAATTCTTTAGAACTGTCGGGAGTACCTTCACACAAACTGAGGCTGAAAGTAGGCGTTCCTGTCCTTTTAATGCGGAGTTTAGATGCACCAAGACTGTGTAATGGCACACGGTTGCAAGTGACACACCTCGGTCGCAATATTGTAAAAGCAATCATTATGACTGGAATGGCAAAAGGAGAGAACGTTTTAATCCCCCGTATACCCATAATTCCGACAGATTTGCCATTCCAGTTTAAGAGATTACAGTTTCCGCTGAAAATCGCATTCGCTATGACGATAAATAAAGCTCAGGGGCAAACATTAAAAGTAGCCGGCATTAATTTAGAAAAGAGTTGTTTTTCTCACGGACAATTATACGTGGCTTGCTCACGTGTTTCAAGTCCACAGAATCTCCATGTGTTGGCCAGAGAGGGAAAAACAAAGAACATAGTTTACAAAAATGTACTACAGTAATAAGGCCTCTTATTGTTAGCTTCCTACATTATTATACTACTTACATTAAGTTAGTACTTCCTACGCAGACGATGTTACGGATGTCACACTGTCTAACATCGGGGGTTGGCAGGTAGGTAGTTAGTAGTATTTTAAACCGATTTACATTATTTACTTTTTATATTTACTAAGGAAACATTCGGAGCTATCCATTATGTAGCTTAGGTTGCTTTTGAACAAATTTTGATGTGAAGTTGAGGACTGGAACACGATAGTGGGACATTGTTGCAGGGGGACTTATAGCCGGGAGAAAACAAAAAAACTTATGCGGACGAAGTCGCGGGTAAAAGCTAGTGTTGTAATAAACTGTTCTTGGAAGAGCGCAGTTTCCTAGGACAACCTATTATGAATCTCAAAAAGTAGCAAAATTGTTTTTTAGACAAAATAAAGATTTTTTTGATTTAGATTTTTTCATTGTAAAAAAAAAAATTAAATATATTATATACTTAATACAATGTTAATAGAAAATATCCAAAACGAGATGTCATAGTTTCTACATCAGTGGGATCGCCGGTGTGGGCACATAATTTAGTAATTATATATTTTCAATTATCACACTATACGCGTCACCAAGATGCATGATGACGCCACAAGAGTGGAGAAGAATTAGAGTAGCTTTTAGTCCACCACTCACTACTCCCCCTGTGTAGAAACGGACTCCCGATAACGAGCATTTTTTTTTTTGCGCCCGAAGCAATTAAAGGGGAATTAAAGGGGAATACCTATACGTAGGGAGGCGGAAAATGCATTACGCATACCACGATAGCCGGTCTATCGTGGTTATGAGGGGCTCACTGTCCTACCGGGGACCCTAAGTGATACCCTCTAAAAACCGCCTTTGGGGACAGGCAGCCGGCTGATTAAGCTGTATTGTGCCTTATCATGAGCGACCCTCTTTTGGGAAAAGAGGGCGCAGGCGGCTAAGTGCCGCTGAGGGAGTGCCTACGAAGGCAAATTAATGTTAGTTATTACAATAATTTAATTTAATTAGAGTTGGCCTGAGACGCCAGGAGGCAGTTCAGGTCGTTTGACAGTTTACTAGGCGGGTCCGAGAGAGAGTTTCTCGGCCTGCGGACACGATAACGAGAGGGGGGTGGGGCTGCATAAGAAGCCGTCTCACGAATTAAATTGTTTGGGTGCGACTCTGAGGCTTTGAAGAAGTTCTCAGAGAGTTTTTTTAAGGAATTGTTGAATTGTTGGGAGCTCTAAGTCCCGATGAAGGTCGGCATTACGGACGTACCAAGGTGCGTTCGCAGCTCGACGACAGAAGAGGTTATGAACTATTTGGAGTTCATTTAAAATATTAGGGTTTGCGTGGGCAAAGACGGGGACCGCGTAGGACATGACGGGTCGTATACAGACCTTGTAAAGGGTGCGCTTGTTTCGGAGGGACATTTTACTGTGTCGGCCCAGCATACTGTTGAGCCTACTCAGATAAAAATAACGAGCATTTTATGTAAGTTTTTTATTTCTAATATATACTTAAAAGTGAAAATGTACGAAAAAATATTGCGCAAAGTTATAAAATTATTCATACTTAGTATTATAAATAAGTTATGTGAATAATTTATGTTAATTCTTCAAGCACGCATAATTTTTAAGATTTAGTTTTATAAATAATTTACATAAATAATTTATAATTTTTAAAAAGTCTTTATCGTAATTGTGCGCAAAATTATTTTAATGATTGTTCGTGTAAATATAGGATATCATTATTACGGCTCCGCTCCGTGGCGCAGAGGGTTAATAATCAGTTGCACCGCTAAAGGCCGTGGGTTCGAGCCTAATTGTTCTGTCTGGTACAGTCTGGATGTAAGAGTCTCGCTAGCAACGCAAAGTCATGAACTTGCATTTAGAAAACACAAAATTAGGAGCTATTTAGGTGATAATTAGGTGCTAAGATTAAAAATTTGGCGCTCTAAAATTTTCACCGCAACGAACTGTTGAAATTTGCGTTGCTGGCAAAACGTATCTTTAGCAACGCGATGACAATCAGTGGCGCAGCTAGAGCTCCAAACAAGGCAAGCCCAAGATATGGTTTTGTTGTTTTTAGCAGTTTTATAAAAATACACCAAACTTGATCTGTTTCCACTCCTTAGTTTCATATTCGTTGCCGTCAAGGACGTGTTTATCAAAGCACGCAGAAGGCATAGGTACCACCGCTAGATAGATTGTACGATATATGTAACTGCATACCTTCGTTGGCCTTGAAAAGAGCCGTTTGGGTTTGCTTGAGCGAAAGAAAAAGATATTTTCATACAATACAATAAGTGTGTGTTTTTAATATTTGTCTTTATCTCTACTAGACATAAAGACAAATCGACTTCCCTCTGAAAAACTGTCATAAGACGCTGAAAGTTAGTTTTGAGAAAAAAACCATTTAAATTATTTTTCGATAAATTAATGCTATTGTGACTTTTAGGTTACAAATTTTTACCTGTCTACTGTTTTAACTAACAAAGAATTTATCAAGCTATTTGCAAAATATAAGAGTATATTAAAAAATTAAATGAAATTTGTTTAAAAAGTAAATAAATTAAAAATTACCCAACTTATGACACTTTTTTACATTATTATGGTAGCAAAATAAAAAAATATCGTAACACAAAAAATATTTTTATTTATGGTTCTTCTTAATATTAAATCTAATCTTTGGAGCAACTTTAGGAACTTTCACAATTACCATAATCAGTCTAAAGGCAAAGTTAAAAAACACACTAAAAATTGTTAATACTTAAAACTTAATGATTACAAATTTGTGTAAAATTCGCTGTAGAAATTTGGTATGTGATTACTCTGTACCAGACTTAAGAGGTCTCTCTTTTTTATTTTCTTTAATTTTCGGTTTCGTCCCATAAGCTTTTTTTAGTGATATTATTTGAACGGGCAATTGCTTTCTTGTGATTACTGCTTCTTCAAAATCAATTTCTTTAAAAGAATATTTATAGTACACTTTCTTAAATTCGCCCTGAATCACTTTTAAAACCTTTATTTCAGAGGTTTAAAATTTTTTAGAATTGAAACCAATGGTTTCCGATAGGCTTTTCATAGAATAAAATTCTCTGAAGCTCATCTCGTTTACTCTATACGGGTTGCCCTTCTTTTTGGCGTTCCTTATAATTTGAGCATATTGGCTCGGAACATAGATGGGACCGAAGCGGAGGTTCTTTTTGATAGCTTTTTCTATCACGGAATGTACGCTATCTCCTTCATTTTGTGTATGGCCAGTAATAAGGTATTTATGTGTTATAGATTTAATTTTAGAATGTTTCATCAACGCGTATATATACATGGAAAAAAGAAATTTGTTTTTCTGCTGGCCGCAGCAATTGTCGGAGTAAAATACAAATTCAATACCTGAACCAGCATAATTTTCCATTACTTTGTCAATAAAGTTCAGGACACAGGACCCAATCTCATCTGCCCCTCGATTGGCCTCCCCTTCGTGCCAGAGGTAGCATTCGGTGTGATCAGGGGAAGTTATTTAATTTCGATTTATAATAGAATACTGATACATCTCCTCTTGGAGTTTGAAGAACAGCCTGAAGGTCATAGACAGCTACGATGTAATCATTGCACGCTTTATTTTTATCACTCTCTTTTTCTATTCTAGATAAATCTTTTCTTCCTGATGTAACATGTACTTTTCCTGTAGTTCCTCTTTTGCAGATCCAGTTGCATTTTCGTAGCTTACACACAACTCACAACGGTCCTTTTTAGGAGTAAAAAAATTTATATTAAACTCATAATTAAAAAGTTTTGCATACATTTCGTAGTGTGCTGCACTAACTCCTTGCTCCAAACATTGTGCTTTATAGTCTGCATGTAAGTCTGCTAAACATTTACCACCGTCGATATATTCTCGGCTAGAATATTTCCTGATATAATGGCTTTCAATCCGTGGAATCGAATTTATGTGATCTCTGACTGCTTGCTTAATCGATTCATCGACTTTTTTATTATTGCCATGTTTACCTCTCTTTTCTATGTCAATAAAACCTAGATCTCTTTTCTGAAAAACTGTTCTTATAACGCGATCATTTACATCTAACGTATTCATAAAAAACTTCTTACAAACCCGTATCTTTTCATTGTCAACGTCAAAATAGTAAGCATTATTATAACCTCGAGGTTTTTCTTTTCCCGAAAAACGGAATGCGGGCACTATAGCTTTGGTAGAGGAGTTAATAAAGTTTCTTTGAAGGGTAATATCTCCTAATCCCCAATATTTAGCAAAAATCTTCTTCCTGCAGTCCTCGTCAATTTTAGTAGAACATTCCATTTTGCATTTATCGCCACAAGGTGGTTTCAAAGAACGTGCAGGTATAATTTTCTTGGTTTTAGATCTGGAAATGTAACATTTGCCAGTATTTAGTAATTTTTTTACGCTTTCTTTTACGCTTTATTACTAAGCCACTCTTCAACTCTTGCAACGCGCTTTCTACTTTTCTTAACATTACTATTTTCTTCTATTTCGTTCATGGAAATATTCTGTTCGACTATTTCATCTTGGTTTATTGATTCATTCTCATTTTGTACTGCTTCTTGTATTTCTTCGTTATTTGTTTCAGCAGAAGTCTGGATCGAAACTAGTTCCACTTGACCGTTAGTTGGTAATACTTGTACATTATTCGTTATCGCAGTTGACGTAGAAGTGCTCGAAGAACTGCTAGAAGAACTAGATGAGGAGGATAGAGGAACTAGACTTGTAGTGAGGATCTTTTACTGAATCATCGTCATCTTCCGAAGACGATTCATAAGCAGCGGGTGGTGGCTCGGTATATGAAGATTTATTTTCAGGTGGATTGTAACTGCAATGGGCAATAGGCTCAGCTTCTTTCCAAGCTTCAAAAGTTGTAACATTATCTGAATTTTCTGAAATAAAACAAATTCATAAACTAAGCAGTAATAATAACTTTCAAATTAAAGTTAACATTAAAAGTTTATATAAATAACTTACTGAAACATTCTTTGGTATTATCATACTTAGGAATATTATTTTGTACTATCTCCTCGAAATCTTCTGTAAAAAAAATAAAAAATAAACTCACCATAAACATACTTATTAGAACAATTGTTACCACCTACATAACATATTAATTATTAATTAAGTCGTGCAGCTAGTTAAATTTACCTTTGTTCAGATTGCGGTCACAATTTTCTTTATTTTCATCACTTTCAGAATTTAAAAGTTGTAGTAACTTTTTGCCCCTGCTATCCTTAAATCTGTCACACATTTTTATTCTGAAATAAATAAATACAAGTTTAATATGAACAGAACATCAACATTTCCGTAAGTATTGATGTTAATGTAGGTAAATTATACAATAAAGTTATGTAGCACTACAGTAAAGAGTAATACTAAAATCAGTTCAAAACGGCCATAACATATTGATGTGACAAAATTGTAGTACCCGTTAGTTCAAAGTAGAATAAAAAAATGTAAAAAACAGTCATAACCTATTCAAGGCTACTTTTATAAACATTCGGTAACTAAATTTTGCAAAACAATTATAAAAAAGGTGCCACAAAACAAAATACAACTGTTTTTTACCCAGTTAAAACGTAAAAATATAATACAATGTTGAGTGAAATAGTATCATAACCTATGTTATGACACTTTTTTAGAGTGAAAAATTACGTTTTCAAATTACGATCGAAAAAAAACAGTACTATATTGTGATACTGCAGTTTTCACTCTTAAATTTACAAGTATTGTGAAAAAACTTACCCAAAATATGGTCACAAGATAGCTTATGGCGATTTTCAAGAGCACTAACACACGTTCACACGACACAAGCTCCGATACGTCACTATTGTTGAGGCGGGAGCGCGCAATATCGCTCCGTAAAAAAACCGTCACTTACGCCACCTAGTTAGTTTTTTTTTGTACTACGATTGTGGCGGTTTCATTGATCGATAGAGAATAAAAAACGTAATAAAACTGTATTTAAATCTGTGTTTCTACTTTTTCTTATGTTACGACAGTTTTTTAGAGGAAAGTCGAAATATTAAAAACTCAAACTTATATAATCATAAGTACGCAATATCGACAGGGAATCGGAACTATTAATAATAATAAGCGCTGAAGTTATGCGACGAAGGAATTGGACTAACAGTGAAGGTGGCTGTTGCTCGCGAAACCTCCTCACGTTTTTCGATAAAGCGGATAGGTCTGCTTGCAGCCTGACTCCCTCTCCAGTAAGTATTTTAATTTTCTCCGCCAAGTAATATTTGCCTCAGTAGGTCCATCCTGTCGCTCCCAAGGCGGCACACCTACTTTAGTAATTCGACGTCGCCACCGTTCGCTGTGGCCGCGATCTCGCCCCGCGCCGTGCTCGCTTCCGCTGACGACATCGACTCGAGTCCCGTGTTGCTAGCCACGTACACTGAATTTGTCACCGGACGGGTCGCTGAGTAATCTCACATTCTAAATTTGGGCCTTCTCAACAATGTCTATAAACCTGGCTCATTTTCGGCGTTTCCTTCGGCTACGATGAAACTACTACAGGTTTTATTCCTACTCCCGTACCAATAAACTCTAAAGTTTTGCATTTTAACTCCTCGCATTATCCATCACCCGGAATAATCATAGGCGGGACGTTCACCTCCTCGATTTCCCAAAATTTGCGAGACAATAATTCGGGATGTTCAACAACGGTGCAACAATGAGAACTTGCCGAAATATTATAAACCGTAGGAGCGGCACCAACAATAACATAACCTAAAACGGTTTCTAATGCGTAAGGCGTGATACACGAGGGGTTACTCTTGACCTTGTTATGTAACAAGAGGTAAGAGAAAATAAATGTCCTAATGAGCATATTCCCAGGGACGGAGTGAGTGTCATCCGCTAAAGCCAAATTATCGAAATTGGTCATTGCGGAGGCGTCGACCGAAACGGTAGGCAGACGCTCGGTCACTTTATCTACTTCTTATGAATTTAATGAATTTATATTAAACTTAATACTGCGATCGAAACGAGAATAAATTTTAAGTTTATCGAACCTTGGACCGTTTAATTGAAGCCTTTTTTTATGGGATAGGGTGACAAACGAGCATACAGTCCAACCGATGGGAGGCGGTTTCTGCGGCCCATAAACATCTACATCTACCTCGATTACAAATCAAAATGCAGATGCGTTGTCACACGTGAGGACTGAGATGGAATGCCTCGTTTCCGGTATAAAGGTTTTCCGGTTCTCTACACTCACCATTCGAAACACAGCAGCATCGAGCTACTAATTCACGCTGGTATTATGTGAGAGCGAGGTCCCTCTCCGGTCGAGCCGTCCTATTTGTGCTACAACCATACCACCAATATAACTGCAGCATGGCCCTACCACGTAGGCCTCCAATTCCTTCAGTATTCCAATTTCCTGATAAAGATATGATAAGAATTGCCTGCCGCCTACCAAGGGTGGCTATAATAACTATATAACTATACCCCCTATGAGGCTATTTATGGGAGGCTTATGTTCAGCAGTGAAGTTTTTGCAGAATTCTGCGGAGTGGGGATGACGCGTATTACATGAATAGTAGACAAACATAGTAGATACAACGGAAATAAGATTGGAAGTGCATCTTAGAAAACAGAAATCGGTCCAAAGTAAACGGAATTGTTCGTTGAACGCTACAATTGCGCATGAGGCATTGTTCGACTGTAGGTAGTTCCGATACCACAAGTTCGTAGAAAACTGATCTTCCTTATTTTAGTTTTTCGTTATTGATTTAAACTAGGACTGTATTGTTTTAAAAAGAAACAGAAAGAAAACACTACCTTAACACAATTATGACTAAATTACCAATGTAATATGTTAGCACAACCTCGTTATTTGCGCTGTAATGCAAGCGACCATATATTTTTGTTATTTTTGTATAGGTATGTGACGGTATATTTTTCCCCTCATAGCGGGACGATAAATTTTTATGGTTTTAAAAATAAAACACATGTCTTTGGAATATTTAATGATCAAAAGAGGAAATGAAAACTGCTCTCTTATACAGTTTCGTGAGCTGACTGCTTATATTTTTAACCGACTTCAAAAAGGAGAAGGTTCTCAATACCAGTGTATGTTCTTTATTTTTGTATGTATTTTACGCAATGTCGTCGCAGATAAAGAACCAATTTTAAAGATTCTTGTTTTTTTTTAAATATAATTACTCTACTACTCTTTATTGAAATATAATTAGTTCTTGTTATTACATGAGCTACGAGATTGTGATATTCGTTAAGTAAAATGTCGTCGAAATGGTACCTAACATAAAAACATAATTCCCTATTTTTTCAGAATTATTACTTAAAGCTTATTCGGAACCACCCCTAAAATATAATAATTATAATAATATAATAACAAGCATTCACAGACACGCAAATTGAAGGAAGAGAAACTTACATTGCACATCTATTGACTACCGTATTTCAGTAAGTAATTACAACACTTGCCGGGAGCCGTGCTCGAAAATGTTCGCGCCAGGCTCTACTGGGACCGGGCCATCATCTCACAGACAAGATTATTCTTGCGAATAAACCCGATATTGTGCTGATGGACCGGGCACAGTCAAGGATATTTTTGGTCGACATTACCATTCCGTGTGACGAGAACCTCGTGAAAGCCGAAACAGATAAGCAAACAAAATATCTGGACCTGGTTCACGAGGTAACCGACATGTGAGGTGGTCTGCCGACCGAAATTATTCCTGTAGTCGTCTCTGCAAACGGGCTAATCCCAGTCAGCCTCTCGGGTAATCTGAGGCGGCTGGGACTACGTGGCGGACCGCTCCAGATTCAAATACAGAAGGCGCTGCTCCTCGATACCGCCCGCATCGTCCGCCGGTTTCTTTCCCTTTCCCCCTAACCCTCGTCCGTTTGGTCACCCCTGCCGAGAGCCTCCATCTGGTTGGGCTTAATTTTTATTTATGTATTTTTATATTTATTTTATTTTAGTGATATTTATGTATATTTATCCTTTCATTTCCATTTATAATTATATATTTATAGAACCCAACCATATGAGAAAACTATATAGATAACCCCCATAATAATAATGTCCTCCAGACCAAATTTTCGGCCACGGCGGCCTGCCTCAACGGAGGCTAGCCATCGGCGCAGGACAGGATTTTAATGCCCAAGTGTATGCGCAAGCACAGGTGCACTCTCTATCTCTATTCCCTCTCTCTCATTAATCCGATGGGACGGTAAACCGCATAACATACGACATAATCGGAGAGAGATCAGGCGCAGGACCAACAGCTTTACGTGCTTTCCGAGGCACGGGAGTGAGACACCGCCAACTTCCTGACTTCGGGTACCTACTGAGAATTTCTTAACGGAAAACTCAATAATAAATAAAAAAACTCGAACCCAGGACCTCATGATCAGCAGTCGCAATACTGCAACCACCAGACCAACGAGGCTAAATATAATTTATTCAATAAAAGTATACGGTTAACAGTTTACAAAGATATCACGTAATATACCATAAAAACTCAGAGTAAAAAGCCAAACCACATTTATGAATTTAGAATAAAATTAATTTTACGGATTTTTATCTCATTTAATTTTAACTAGGTTGTTTTATTTTACTCCTTTTCAGCAGATTTCAAAGGAGGTGGAGATTTACAATTCCACAGTAGTTTTTTTTTTGAGGTCAGCACAAAAAACAAACAAAAAGGGGAATCTTATTTATCTACAAGCAGTGGTGTTGAGAAGTTATGACTCATCGCACAGCATTTTACGGACGGGAAATCGAGCGCTGAGAGAGCAAGCCTCTCAATCATGCTCCGATTCGCGAACCGTTGGGGTAAGATTTACAGCTCTAACCCATCACTGTTTCCTGTGTAGAAACGGACCCCCGCTCTCGTTTAGTGAACATGTCTTATATATGCTACTGAAGCAAAAAATTTTAATAGCGTGAGCCAGAACATTGACTTAATAGGGTAGAAACATTGTGAAAAATAAATCGCAACAAAGGTTAATTATTTTACAATAATGTTGTGCATGATTTTGTTTTACGTTTGTTAACTTTAATAATTGTGATTAAATTTTGTTTTAGATAAAAATTCTTAACTATTCTTTATTACTCATTATTTCTTCCTCTCAGTAAGTTCAAAATGTTTCTTAAATGCTATACCGTCAAAAATTATAACATTTAGGCAGTTTCAAATAAAAATAAATAAATTGAAACTTTTACAGGCTCGAAACATAATTTTATCTTTTAAGGATTTTTATTATAAA